CCAAAAAAAAAAAACTTTTATCACAGTTTGTTATATGATTTAATTGATAACTATTTGTTATTTATTTCTTTTGAGATCCATTTTTCTCATATTAAAGATTATTGTTATTTTTCGAGTAATAACTGTATAACTATAGTTTATAATTTGTTCAACAAAAGAAATTAAATTGTTTAATTATAAATTTCATGTATTGATTATTTAAGCTAATCCTTTTAGCAAAATAAAATTAATAATATTTTTAGTAACAATTACATTTTCTATGGTTTTGGTTACCAATCAGACTTTTAAAAATATTTAAATTAACAGTCACAAATTCTACTATCAAAATCTCTATAGCCAAAAGCCTACAACGAAAGTCTACCGCCACAATTCTTACCACTTAGGCCCTTTATCTTTATTTCAAGGTACATATCAATTTTTTTGAATATCAATGTTTTAAAAAGTATTAACATTTTGACTTTATTTTAGGACTAAAACTTTTGATGGCACACACATTACTATCATGGTAAAAGATCATGAAAAGGCAATCGAAAAGGGGTTAATTCACGAAACGTACTAGCTGCTTGTAATTTTGATCTCGGGTTTATATATGCTCTAAGTGAATGGGAAGGATTAGCTCCGACTCAAAAATTCTACAAGATGCCTTAATAAGAAGAATTAGCAGACTGCAAGTTCCAGACAGTAAAATTAATTCAACTATATATTATATCAAAATAATTGATATATTATTTTCCAACAAGTTAGTTATAAAGTGTTTTGGTGTTTAAGGAAAATATTATTTAGTTGATTGTGGATTTGCAAACTGTACTTTCTTATCTGTACTATGAAGTACTTGGTATCATTTACAAGAATTTTATAGTGAAAGACATGATCCAACAAATCAAAATAAATGGGAGTTTAGTTTTCAGAAAAATCTAGACATATGATGTTTATCTATTTACAAACATAAATATAAGTATTTTATCAATAGCCCAGATTTAGAACTTTAAAGGCTCTTTTCTTTTTGTTATTGGATGCAATATCTAGATGCGTGCATTTAGATGTTGTTCGTTTGACCAATTTTAATTTAGTATATAGATGATGCAAAATCCATAATATCTCAAATTAGAAATTTGAAATGGTAAAAAAGTGAATTTGAATGCAAATGGTAGAATCTCAAAATTCAAAAGACTTAACTAACTTTCAATAACTAAAAGTGGATATATTTTTACAAAAATTATTTATTGTTTATTTTTTTTAAATTTAAATATAATAAATATTTT